CACTGAAGGACATCTTGCAACATAAAAATATAAGAAGACAAGTAAAATATCAGGTTTTCATGGTGGCAAGTATCAAGATGGCTGTCTTCTGGGTGGTTGTACTGTGTAATCTGGTACTGCCTACATTTTCAGGGTGATCACACAGACCATGTAGACCACAAAATGCAACAACCCAGAAGACAGCCATCTTCACCTCTAAATTGAATGACTGCAGTTGTTACTGACCTACACATGAACAGCATTCACTGTAAAGATCCCCAAGGCAGGAGTAACACTCTTTGCAGCAAGAACAGTTCTTGAGGTCGCACTTGCAGGACTGTGTCAGCATGCACTTGCTCACAACACTAGCACACACTGCTTCATTGCAACTGTTCACAGTATCCATGAAGTTCAGAGTGGTGGCTGCCACCACAAACACTGATACCCACTGCAGCATGGTTTTACAACCTGGAACAAGAACACTCTTTGAAGCCAACTTGATATGTAAATGACTACATAGCCTTAGACCATGATTTATAACAGATCTTATAGTGACATTTCTTTAAATAAACAGACTTAGTAAGTTCTGCTTCTGAACAACAAGGAGTGCTGATACTTTGACTTCATCAATCCACCTTTTCCTTGTATGTTTCACACTTCTTCATATTTAAATACAGGTTTATGTTTCCCATTGTCATCCATCAATACTTGTTCATAATTCTGATTCTTTTCAAATATCTGCCCTTGAATTTCTTTCTTCACCACAAATTCTATCCAACAGATTTTCATTTTATCTAGATGATTCATGTTGGCAGCCTGTATTTTGCTGTTGTTCTTATGTTTCATTGCCCAGATTTGCACTCTGATCAGTCCATGTGGAATGTGTGCTCGATAAAGTGGTACTAGGACAAGGTTTTCTCTCTGAGTCCCTTGATTTCCTCTGTCAATATCATTCCACCACTGCTCCATATGCACTCATGTATTGTACGGGGGATGGGCAATGGGCCCATTAGTAGTCCATAAAGACAAAGTCTCACCCCATCACATCAATTAAAAAATAACTTTATAAATGTACTTCCAAAGAAGGTAAACAGAATATTTCATTGAATTGTTCACCTAAAAGTCCTCACATTGAACCTAGAAGACCAACATCATAAGACAACAAAATGTTTACTGATTTTTTCCGCCCCTGCATTGGCTACACTAGTAACTTTACAGATATTAACAATGGCCTTTGGCTTGATCTGTAATCAAGAATTAATTTTAACAAGTTCCTTATGTACAAATGTATTTTGCGAGAGTTTAAAAACAGTTAAAACAAACAATGTTTCATTACCTAGATTCACAATAAACATGTTAATCTGTTAATAACAATGTTGGTTTCTTCATCACGACATGTTTCTTTCCCAACTACATTTTTCCAGAAAATCGTTTGTGACGTGTCAGATATTTTCGGGGGAGGATGTGTTGTTGAACCTGACAGTACTCCTTGCGCGAAGAAATTCTGACGATGACCACTCCCCGCCGGTATGCCATGAAACAATTATGTACCTTCAGTTATTCCATCCACTTATAACGATCTTGGAAATAGCAGCACTGTTCTTCCTACAAATGAAATACCTGCACTGTTTTTCTTCCCTCTTCGAAAATAAGAAACTAGAGCAAAGCAGGGCGGGATGTTACGAAAGTGTTGCAGTGTTTGTCTGTAGCCGCCACTAATGTAGCAGTTCGTTCCCCATCAGCTTCCACACGCCCGGATGCTGTGTTGATAATTTACACAGTAAGCTCCTCTGTCTACTAGTGTCGTCATACCCACATAAAACTTCGATGAAACTAGTTTTACGCGTTCCGCATTTTTATGCATTCCTTGTAGGGACATATTGTTTTTCGAGAACGGGAAGGGTTGTCGTGTCTTTACTACCGCCCGTCCACGCTTCACCGAAAGCACTGAACGATTTTATATAAAATTCTGTATTTGTATTCTGTAACGACTGCCTGCTGAATTCAATTTTTGTGCTAAAGCAATTACAATTTGACCAGTCCATTTCATCAGGAAGGTTTACTGTACATAAAAAATATATAAAATAAAATACGATGCACGATGCTTGCATCAACCAATTTTCTCGGTCCTATACAGCCTGAGCTACGGAAGGCGTCGTTAAATAAAGTATAAACTAATATATAAATAAAACACTTTCAATATAATGAAATAATCTAGACGAAAAACAGCTGCATTTTTATCCCATGCAATTCAATGTCGGTGGTGTTTAGTCTGAGGCACGCACAAATACCAAAAACGCTGGAAAACATGAGTACATATTTCACCTCCCATTTCGTCTTTAAACTGTGAAAGACATTATGGTTCAGAATTGACAGTGTAATTGTACGTGTGTGGACTCGTAATGCCAGCGTTTCGGAAGAACATACTGCCTCAATCATCAGCTATGAAGACTGAGGCAGCATGTGCCTCTTTCCCCCATTTCTTGTGTGAGCCTCACCTATAACTGCGGAGATACCTCTCGGCGACTGAAGATGTCTCTCCTTGCTGCGGGAGTTTAGCGTGGGTCTGTATGATTACCACACTGACGCATCCTATCTTTCTCACTTTTTGTGAGCAATTTTCAAACTATAATTTCACTGTTAAATGGTTGTCACATGGAAATGGTGAAGTTTTATCAAACAACTAGCTTTGTGTAATAACTTCTCAAGAAGGCTGCAGCGGAATGTGCTGACAACTGTAGTATACCTGGTTCACCGTCGGTCCACGCTTGACCTCGTCAGCCTGCCTCCACTGACTATACTAATCTGGTTCCACCGCCGTGGGGTATTCGCCCCCTCATTCAGTCAAGAGCGACGGAAGAGAGGGGGAAGTGTCCACTTAATTACTCTCGCAATGCTACCAACCTTCGACACAACAGTGGTAAGGGCTCACCTCTTTTGCCTTTTTTTTGGGACCAACATAGTGCAATTGAGTTTCATACCTGCTCCGGAGTACCGTACTTCTGTAAGGAATAGTCAGGGATGAAATATAACAGTAAAAATCAGCAACAAATAATATCGACACAAAGCGGAATGCAATTGTTCAGCACAGGAACAAATTCTATGCGTTTATGACGAATGTAACGAACCTTTGGATTACGTAACAGATAAATTAGTGGCCGGATAACTTTGTGCACCACAGAAGTGCAATATGAGACGGAATACACAACAGGTCCGTGGCCTCAAACTTTTTTCCCTTCCTCAAAAGCTATTTATTTGTAATACAAAGTTTATTCTCACTAGAATATAAGAACTGTTGTCCAAAATCTTTCAGATTTTTAAGTATATATTTTTATAAGTTTGCTCAAAAATCTGACGTGACACTGATTCTTATTATAGAGACAAAAAAGAATCGGGGAAAATTCATAGTAGGTATGTTTTAACAACACTTCATGGAAGCGTCAGCCCCATCACTAAATGTAGTTTGCACTTCCAGGACCTGCTATAGGCATTAAGGATGCAAGAGCTGAACAGTTTTTGGGGTCCCCAAGTTGTAGCCTAACACTACTACTGTCAAGTCTGCAATATGTTTTCAGTTAAAACAATGGGTTGCCGCTTTGGAATTCCTCATTAACTGAATGTAACGGTCCTTCTTGAGAAGTTGATAGTCGCTTACCTAGTCAATAAAATTTCCCATCGTTATGGAAACGTAAAATTAATTACAGTATTCACCAGAACCTACCGCTGAACTATACTTGTTAAACTGAACCCATTCTACACTCTTACATATTTAATAGGCGTATCCATCTACAACTCTGTCTCGCAAGATATGGACTCTTCACTCACTCCTTCTCATTCTTACCTGATTTCTACATTAGATCCATATCGACGAACTCTCTCTGTAGTTAATACCATGTTCAGAAACAGTCTAAGTTCTCCCCTAAGGCGACGAGAAATCAAGCTGCATATACGTAAACTACACACAAAACAACGTAAAATTATGAGATTTGGTTTTTACAGCTGTAAAAATTTGGATTGTCATCCTCCTGTTTGTGACTCAGCGTATTCTTATAGCGGTTACCAACGTTTTCTGTATTTTAATAGTTAGATTTTTATACAGGTGGCGGGAAGATAAATTATTCATAGGTAAAGGGTAGTAAGCATGCTTATATTAGCCTGTGGTAGCAACAGGCAGAGGTACCACCGACCAGTATTTCGGGACGTGAGGACAGAGGATTATCTGAGGAATCTTGTGAATTTATACGAATTCCAAGGTTTTATAAACCTTCAGGTAAACTGGAAGGTGACAGATGCCGTTAGTTTACACAATCAACACCCTCATTAAGACAACGACTTGGGAAACTTTCAGATGATTGAGGCCGGAACCAGTCAACAAGTGACCTAACTCCTGTGTATGCATCAAAATAGCGCTTGAGACAAACAACGGACATGGTAACTAGGCATTTTTTTATTCTTAATCGTGTACTCTACACGAAGTATGCACGAACCGCTGCTGCATATTATCTGCGCAGAAACGTAGGCCGGGAAGAGGCCTTCTGTCTTCGGGAAGGCCGCGGACTTGTTTGCATGTGCACACAGGTGGCAGCCTGCAAGTCTGGAAATTTCCTCTGCAACTAAATTGCATTCCGTAATACAGAATAACTTCAGACTTTTCTGGCTCGCGACTTCCTTTGGCGTGATTAAATATCCCAGACTAATTTTTCCAAGCATATCAAAAGTACATTCTATGCTCCATATATCTGCAGCTTATTAAATGTTTAAGTTCGGTATTTGGGTGCAATAGTTGAAATTACCTCCAGGAATCGTACTTCCAGTAATTGACAGGCATGCTCAGTAATTTGGTTCAATACTCAGACTGCGTTATATTCAAAGTATATACCCATTGTTTAAATATAACTTTAACCATTACCCAATATTACTTCATGACATGGTACTCATTTAAGTACAGGTACATTACCTTAACCTTTAGAAAAGACAGTTGTCTCGCTATACGAAATGGAGACACCTACTCGTTTTTGACCTCGATACTAGATGCTGGTGAGTGGTCAATGTCACGCCCCAGCCCTATGGAAAGGACCCCTGGTACCCACTGGACAGGAGGCTGGGTTTGACCCTGAGACGTGACTTAAAAACTTTTGCCTTTGCAGGTAATTGAATATTAGTCATCCAGTCCGTTGTCAGACATAAAAGTGACTGAGCTAGCAAATCAAAAATGCATTTATGAATAAATTACGAAGCGACTAGAATCGGGGGTGGGGATGCTTACTACCAGTTCGTAATATTTTGTCTTGCAGTCTCCTATCTAAAAATGTAAAGATTAAAGCGTATAAAACTGCAATTTTCCCGATGTTCTACAAAGGTGTAAAACTCGATTTCTCAGCCTGAAGGATAAAGGGCAGGGTGCTGACAAGAATAAGAGGGTCTAAGAAAGAGAGAGTGGCAGAAGGGTCGAGAAAACACATAAGCAGCTTCATAATTTGCAGTCCCGCCCCACGAGCATCGCGGGGCCAGTGACAGCCGTTGCCACTCGCTCCGGCCCCAAGGATGGTTCTTCTGAAGACGGTAATGAAGTTGGAGGTTTTCAAAAACGAGGGTTGATAATTTGACTAGCTGAGCGACTATTAGCTTCTCAGAAAAGACTCAACTCCAACGAAAGACCACTTAGACCTGCAGTAACATAACTAACAAATTCCTGGTTAGTCCTTCCCACTAGTAAAACCAACTGGTTACACAAAGGCTGTTCTTATTTGTTTTACAGATCAATACCGGCGTAGTACTAACAATGTTTCCAAACTCGCCATGAGTTTTTTCGCTGTGATTTCTGACGATGATCCATAATTGTAACATCGAGTTTAAAAGGTGTATATTTATTTGCTCCTGTGATTATTATTTATGATTATACATATTACGAAAGATAAATCCCCTCCAAACACGATGCAAGTCAACTAGCCGGATTACCGCTGAAAGTGAAATCCCGTGTAAGATTCTTGCCCGGCCCACATTCCTACCTAACGGTCGCCAGATGTTTCGCCTCAGGACACACCAGGTGCGCTGCAGCGCACCTTAATTGGAAATGTCAACAGCGAAGTAAATCATCGTTTAACGCTCATCACCTTGCAGGCACCAAACAACTATTATATGCTGCACCTTGCGGGAGGTCAAGAGGTGGAAGGCACGCGGGACTCGTGTTGCCCGCGAAATTTCTTCTGTTGTCACTTAAGAACTACATAACGAACGTCGCGGAAGTGGTTAGCACGTCTGCCTAGTATTTGGGAGGTCCCGAATTCGAATCTCAGCCATCATAACAGGTTCCATATAAAAATGTCATTCAATTACAATTCAAATTGACATCTCAAACCGTTTATATTACAATGTCTTCATTGTGTTTGCCCTCAATTCCAATGATCTTTCAGGATCTCATCCCAAAGTTCGACACCATAATTTGGAGGATATCACTTGTGAATAGCAACAATTTCATATTCAGTAGGTGATCTGAGCTCCTCCAAAGTCTCTCAGTTGCCCTGGTAACCAAACAAAAATAAACGATAAATAGCTTGAGTATCACAGCGCATCAGCAAAATTTCTTCAAATTG